CTAATACCATCAATCAATCAATTGATCAAGTCTTTAAAAACAATTGTTAATGGATGTATATTTCTTTGTGTGGAAGAAATATAATGTACTTTATTTAATGTTGTCATACTTTTTTTTTTTTTGTCCATCATGGTGCCTGAACTCTGGGCTTGGGCACTGTCCCTGAGTTCTTCAGCTCAAGGCTAGTGCTCTACCACTTTAGCCACAGTACCACTTCTGGCTTTTTCTGCTTATTTGGTGCTGAGGAATTGAACCAAGGGCCTCATGCATGCAAGGCAAACACTCTACCACTGAGCCACCTTCCCAGCCCCGAGTTTTGTCATACTTTAATGTAATAAACCTACACTAAAATATATACTAAACATCTTTGTCCACAGTTGGCAGTTATCAGGTGGGCTCAGTTCTGGACTATACCTCTTGAAGGGTATTCTTATTTTTGGTAGGTGCTGAAAGTTATGGAGAAAACTCTAAAAAAAAAAAATCACTGAGCAAATGGGTTATAGGCTAGCAAGTGATGAGGTTCAGTTCACTTCAATATTTCCTAATGACAGTGAAGTTCAGCTTAACAGTACCAGGGCTGAGACTGGTTCTAGAAACACAGAGATGAATCAAACATTGAACTTATATAATCTTGTAGCAGAGACATATATTTTGACATTGTAGTGATGAGTGATTATAAACTTGGAGAGAACAGAGTTAATAAGAATATGGAAGAGATTTTGAGCCTCTCTTTCAACAACTTTTTTTTTTTCAACGACCTAACATGCAGTATATAGTCTTTCTTTTTTCTTTTTCTTTTTAGTACTGGGGTTTGAATTCAGGGCCTCGTATTTGTTGGGCTGGTACTCTACCAGGAGCCATACCTTAAGCCCTGCTTTTTGCTGGGCTTTGCTTTATTCTGGAGATGAAGACTATCAAACTTTTTCTGTCCTGACTAGCCTTGAACCATAATCCCCCCAAGGCTCAGCCTCCGTAGGAGTCAGGATTACAGGTGTGATCCACTAACACCCAGATATGGTATATTCACTCTTTTTTTTTTTTTCTCTCCAGTCCTGGGGCTTGATCACAGGGCCTGGGCACTGTCTCTGAGCTTCTTTTCCTCAAGGTTAGCACTCTACCATTTTAGCCACAGCACCACTTCTGGCCTTTTCTGTTTATGTGGTACTGAGGAATCAAACCCAGGCCTTCATATACACTAGGCAAGCACTCTACCACTAACATTCACAGCCTATATATACTATTGTACATAAATTAATACTCACAATATTCATTCTTTTCCTTCCTTTTTTTTCTTTCTTTTTTTTTTGTGTGTGGGGTCCAGTTGTGGGGCCTGAACTCTGGGTCTGGGCGCTGTCCCTCAGCTCTTCAGCTCAAGGCTAGTGCTCTACCACTTGAGCCACAGCACCACTCCTGGCTTTTTTCTTTTTGCTTATGTGGTGCTAAGGAATCGAACCCAGGGCCTCATGCATGCAAGGCAAGCGCTCTACCACTGAGCCACTTTCCTAGCCCCGCTTCTTTCTTTTCCTGTAGCATATAATTTGTTCAGCATATATCCTAGACGCAAGTGGGTTGCAGTTAGGTGGGAGGGGGAATGATTTGCAAAGCAAGAAAGTAGGACTTACTAAGCTTCATTACCAATTGTCCAGAAATGAGACATAAGAATTGAAGATAAAACCAATTATGTACCTTAGTGAATGATGATGTCATTCACCAAGCCAGGAAATGGCTATCTTTTTGGTCTAGATTTTATTTTACTTTGAGATGAAGTCTTGCTGTATTTCCACACAATGACTTTAAACTCCTCAACTGAAGTGATCCTTCTATCTCAACCTTCTAAGTAGATCTATTATAGGTATGTACCACTACACCTAGATCAGCTCAAATTTTAAAGAGCAAAGAAAATCTTGCTAAGGAAAAATGTAAAGTCACTTAAAGAAATGGTTCTTAGGGGCTGGGAAGGTGGCTCAGTGGTAGAGCGCTTGCCTTGCATGCATGAGGCCCTGGGTTTGATTCCTCAGCACCACATAAGCAGAAAAAAAAAAGCCAGAAGTGGTGCTGTGGCTCAAGGGGTAGAGTGCTAGCCTTGAGCTGAAGAGCTGAGGGACAGTGCCCAGGCCCAGAGTTCAGGCCCTAAGACCGGGCCCCCCCCCCCCCAAAAAAAAAAGAAAGAAAGAAATGGTTCTTAGAAAATGGGCTTTCTAGAATATATATAACACACATGTATGTTATAATATAAAATATATATATGTATATGTCCTATATATATATATATATATATATATATATATATATATATATATATATATATATATACAGGAGGTCTACTAGGATGGAAATGAAGAACTATTTGAGTCATTTTGGTTTGTAGAGGAAAAATTAAAATTGAGAGTAGGGAAATCAATTGAAAACAGGCCAAAGTGAATTAAAAAAATTAAAAATTAAATTTACAGTAGAAGGAAGAAAAGCAGGTATGAGACTTTTAGGAGCAGAAAGCAAACTGATAGGAAGAACCAAAAATAATGGGATGAAATTGTAGCAGACAAGAGGATCTTAACATCAGGGAGATGATGGTGATGTTGAAGGCACCGTCCATCAGCAACAGAATTTGAAGAGAAAGGGAGAAAATGTGAAGCAAGAGGAACCTGGTCTTGGGAACAAATGAATCATCTCATGTAGTAGCTACACCTCGGGTAGCATGATGAGTCATAAACGCAGATTTTGTGTGGTGGTAGTGATCTAGACTTGGAAAGCACAGTGGTAGTGTTAGGGAGCCAAGCTAATCTAAATTAAAGGGCTCATTTCTCTAGACTGAAAATTTCTAGCAGCAGTAACTTACCTTCACAGTCATTGCATAGTATTACTGAAAGGATGTTAGGGAAGCTCCAGATCTACTTCCAGCTCTTCCTTAGGTCAGATAAACTCCATACATACAGCGGTGGAAGTATACTACCTAATTCATAGAGTTGTTATAAGGATGAATCACAGCTTCCTTCTCAGCTCCAGTTTCTCTAGTTACAAAAAGGAGATAGTGATTTTTTTTTTTTGGTAATGTGACTCAGAAGTATGTGGCAAAGGCACCCTTAGGACTGTACAGGAACAGCTTTCATTGATGAGAAATGCTAGGTTATATTTTCTCTAGATGGCTGCTCAATTATTATTGAACCTTTCCTGGAGACCTTATGTAATTTTCTCATTATGGTTTTGTTATTAGGCCATCACCTATGGTAAGGTAAGATTGCTTTATAATTTTTTATGCAGAAAAATGTACTTGTTCTATTTTGATATCTGTCATGCAGCAAAAATGTCAAGGGATCCAGTGCACCAGTCTGTATTCTTCACTACAGAGATGTTATATAATTCCATTAGTGAAATTTACAGAAATTTCATCCAGACCAGGAATGAAGAATAATGCCTTCACTTTTGGACAGAAATACATGTACACACAGAGAGAAAAACAAAACAGAGAGGTACAGTCTTAAGTCTCACAAAGACTGAGGGTAAGGATGTTTTGAGATCATCAAAAACTGGAACTAGCATTTATTGAGTGCCTTCCATAGGCCATTCTTTCCATTTCCATTTCCAATTCATGATCAGCAAGGTAGGTCAGAGAAAACTGAGGTTTAAAATGTTACATAACTTGCCAGGGTCACAAAGCTATACGTGATGGAACCAGAATAGGTGGCATCCACATATGACACTACAAGTCGTGCTTTTACTAGTACACTGTATTTGGAAAGTTTGGGGGCCAGGTGATCTAGAGGATTTCTCTTTTCCTACTTCCTTTTTGACGGTCTTTTATTTCTTTTGTTTTTGGTTCTGATGTTTGCACCCTAGATCCTGAGGGAGATCAAACAGAAGGCATCTGTAAACAGAATGATTCCACAGTCCCCCAATATACATAAAACAATTTCCTTCTTTTAGAACCTTGGCTAGGATTTGGCAGGGATGTAGGGAAGGGGTATACAAAAGTGGGACAGTAGAGGCAGAGGGGTGGGAGGAAGGGGGTTCATAAAAGGATGATTCTTTTCGTACCTTTAAATAGGTTGTGAAAATCAGGATAATGCTTTGGCTATGTTCTTATCACATATTCCTTCTATTTTTTTCATGGGGGGGTGTCGAGGGTTCATGGTTGTTTGTAGGAAATTTCTGTAATGATCTGCATAGTAGATCTTCAAAAAGTTAAGGTCAAAGACAAATCCTTCATATGCTTTGGGAGGGAGGTGAGTGTGTGTGTGTGTGTGTATTTGTGTGTGTGTGTGTGTGTAAAAAGGTTTGCTCAGGGTCACGCATCCAGAGGCATGAAGGGATTTGAAGAGGTCCCTTCCCCCCCCCTCCCCCATCTCCAGGAGAGATGAGAAAGGCGATTCCCGCACACTCCCGCTGGCCCTCGGATGCGGGGGGGGGGGGGGGGGGAGACGGTCTAGTGACAAGAACCTTCACGTACCTTCAGCAGGGACGGAAAAGGCGCTGGGGTCTGAGGGGGGCCGGGGGCCGCCCGGCTAGGAAGGCACCTCAGGAAGCGTGGTCAGCGCAGGGCGCCCTCCCCCCGCCCCGCACCCCCCCCCCCTGCCCCGCACCCTTCCCCTCCCCCCCGGGCTACGCTCCCCGCGTTCCCTGCCGCTCGTGCCCGGCGCGCCCGCCGCAGTCCCGGCGCCCGCCGTAGCGGGACGTGGGGTGCAGGGGGCGCTGTGGCCCGGCGGTGCGGGCGGCTGGAGCGGACACCGCGACGCCCGGAGGCTTCGCCGAGGATACCCCCCCTCCCGCCTGCGGCGCCTCGGTCGTCCCCACCGCAGCCTGCGCCCCCCCAGCCCGGCTCGGCGGCGCTGCCCGGGACCCTCGTGGCTGCGGCAGCCCCGAGAGCCGATGCGGCTGGGCGGGCGCTGGGCCTCCGCAGCCTCGGCCGCCGCCGTAGTCCCCACAGCCCCGTCAGGAGTGCGAGGCTTTGCGGCGGAGCCCGGGACCGCACCGGTACCCTCCGGAGGAGGAGGAGGAGGAGGCGGCTTTCGGCCCAGGTACGACCCCCTCGGCCATGGTGGAGCGGCGGCGGCCGCAGCTCGAGGTGAGTGTGCGGTGCGACGCCGTCCCGGGCCCGTCCATTCCCGCCGCCCCGGGGCCCCCCGGCGGCTCGGGCTCCGGCCGGGCGGACGGGGCGTCCTGCCGCGCCGGCCGCCTCCGCCCCGCAGCTCTGCGGCCTCAGCCCTTTCTGCCCGCGGCCCCCGGGAGGCCGGAGGCCCGTGGGGGGAGACTAGGCCCCGCGCTGCCGGGAAGCCCTCGCGCGGGCCTAGGACTGGCGGCGGCCCGGGCGCCCTTCGCGGTCGTCCCGGGCGGAGCCGAACGCGGCTTCCTTACCCGGGGCCCTGCACGTAGCTCCCGGAGGGAGGCAGAGGACGCTTGTTTGCAAACAGCCTCGGCTTCCCCGCGCCCCGGGGCTGAGTCCCGCAGAGTCCCGGGGGGACCGGGAGGGGAGCTCGGTTGGGAAAACTGGGTGAAAATTGAGGTGCAGAGAGTGCGGGGCCCTGCGCGTCCCTGGTTACTCTTGGACTGTCATTCAAGGATCTCACTGGCCTTTTGCATCTTGAGGTGAAATTTCATCACCTGCCCGATAGATAGCTCATCCCTGCCTTCTCCCATTACATCTTGCCTCCATCCGTGGTCTGCGTTGGAGACCACCTCGTCCCACTTTTGCCTTGCTAAGTTTTCTAAACACAGAGAAAAAGAAAAAAGAACAAAAAATCGTTTACAAAGACCTATCTGTCCCTTTCTCCTCCACCCCCTGTAAGAGAGGAAATATTTTAATGCTTTTAGCCCTCTGTGCAAAAAAAAAAAAAATTCACCTACCTAGATTTAGAGAACGAATGGCTAGAGAATTTTTAAGCCATGCCAACTGTTCTAATAGCGTGATGGAAATGGGAGCCATTCTAAATTGTAGAAGTTAAAACCATTTATTCTGGTGTTAATGTAAAAATAAAATGAGAACCAGTAGTTTGAAACAGTAAGTCAGGTATTTGGGTGCTATTTGTTTATGTTAAGTTTGATTACAGGTTAATTCTTGGTTTCCTAGTATGTATGGGAAGGTTGCACGAATATAGATACTTCTAAAACTTTTGTGATCATGACAAAGAAAATATTGTAGAAAAATTAGAAAGCACAGAAATTGGCTTTGAAAATCTGTTTAGTAAGAGGAGTTCTATCAGGATGTTTTGGTGGTCATTTAAAGTTTAAAATGAACTTGTATTGAGTGATTTTAAACAATTACTGTTTCTGTGTATTAGGTTCCACGTTAGCAGCAGACTGATCCATTTTACAATCAGTCATTTCCATAAAACCTGTAAATGTTCTCCTTAAATTACATTGGAACCATAGTTCAGTTTATCCATTGGAAAATAATGTGGGTAACTACCCAGAAGACTGTGCAGCAAGGGAAGCTCCAGACTACTAGGGAGGGGTGGCATGCATAAACAATATCTTTGTGGATCTATAACCTTGGTCTTTGTCAGATTTTAAGTATTTCTAGCTATAAAAAAAATTGTGTGTGGTGTCCCATGCCAGAGCAAACTGTGGTCCTAAACCATTGCCTGGCCTCGATCTGTGAGCTACTGGCACTGAAGGGGGTTGCACAGAGGAAAAAAAAGAAAAAAGAAAAAAAAATTTGTGTGTGTGTGTGTGTTTTAAATTATCTGGTGTTGGGCCTAGGGCTTGAACTCAGCACCTAGATGCTGTCCCTGGGCTTCTTTTGCTTAAGGCTAGTACTCTGCCACTTGAGCCACAGCGCCACTTCTGGTTTTTCTGAGTAGTTTATTTATTTATTATTTTTAGGTACCATACTTCTTTATTTGAAGGAATGGTACAAATTAAAAGAACTTAGGATGTTTTGGTACAACTTATAGAAAAGGTAATGATAACCCCAAACATGCATGCACTGCCCCGGTGACCAGAAGTTTATTGCAGATAATAGTCTCACAGACTTCTCTGCCTGGACTAACTTCAAACCTAACCAGGATCCTTATATCTCAGCCTCCTGAATAACTAGGATTACAGGTATGAGCCCCTAGCATCTGGCTAAAGAAATTGCTTTACGTAGGTTCTAGAGTTCTAAACCAGCCTGGGTTAAGCTGTTTATTATTATTAATTTATGTTTAAAAGTTTAATTCATTTTTCAGTGTGCCAACATTAGAGGCTATTGAGAGTACTGATTAAATTGTGCTGGCCCCTTGAATCAGAATTCTGGGGATAATAGTGGCTCAAAAATCTTAGTTTTTACAAAGTTTCCTGATTCTTAATCCTACTAAAGTTTGAGAACTACTGATAAATGTTAATGAACCAGCCAAGTGTCAGTGGCTCATGCTTGTAAATCTTAGCTACTCCTGAGGCTGAGATCTAGGGATTGCAGTTGGAAGCCAGCCCCAGGTTTGTGAGACTATTATCTGCAATTAACTACCAAAAAACCTCGACACTTTCAGCTAGACAAGATTAATTAATTGATTTTGTTTGTTTGTTTTTTTGTCTGTGCTGGTCTCAAGGCTGGAACCCAGGGCCTGGGTGCTGTCCCTGCCTGAGGTTCTTTTCTGCCCGAGGCTAGTACCCTGTCACTCTATCACAGCTTCATCTGATTTTTGGTAATTAATTGTGGGTAAGAGTTTCACAGGGCTGGGAATGTGGCTTAGTGGTAGAGTGCTTGCTTAGCATGCATGAAGCCCTGGGTTTGATTCCTTAGTACCACAACAGAAAAAGCCAGAAATGGCACTGTGGTTCAAGTGGAAGAGTGCTAGCTTTGAGCAAACGAAGCTCAGGGACCTTGTCCAGGCCCTGAGTTCAAGCTCCAGGAATGGAAGAGTCTCACAGATCTGAGACTGCCTTCCAACTACAATCCACAGATCTCAGCCACCTGAGTAGCTAGGATTATAGGCATAAGTCACTAACACCTGGTTTTTTATTTTATTTTTTATTAGCAAAACTATCATTCTTAAGTGGTAGTATAGTCATTTCTCATAGCTACAAATAGTGGTGTTACAGTGTTTTATCAAGACCTTACTTTGGTAACTGTGATGTTACTGAAGGGATACCTCAATGTACCTCAATCTCACTGTCCCATTGTCTATAATAGTATGCAGATAGTAGCCAGGCACAGGTGGCTCACACCTGTAATCCTAGCTACTCAGGAGGCTGAGATCTGAAGATTGCATCTTAAAGCCAGCCCAGGCAGGAAAGTTTGTGAGACTCATCTCCAACTAACCACCAGAAAACTGGAAATGGTGCTGTGGCTTAAGTGGTAGAGCTCTTGCCTTGAGCTGAATAGCTCAGGGACAGTTCCTAGGCCCAGAGTTCAAGACCCACAACTGACAAAAAAAAAAAAAATGCAGATAGTTACATTAACTTGGCAAGGCTTTTAGGATAAAGTACCTGAAAAAAAATACTGTGATCTGTAAAAGGTAGTTTATAATATTTTAGCTGTTACTATTAAGTGTTAGGTCCTGTCTTATGTATGAAACAAAGTGGCCAAGGCTTCTGCTAGCAATAAGCTAATTGTGGAAACAGGACAAGTTTAATTAAATGTTACAAGGCAGGGTCAGAAGACTTGTAATTGAATGCAATAAGCTAGGTCTCTGCTAGGGCTTTTGTGTCCACTATCTTCTCCTTTAAGAACACTGGTAGGGGGCTCTGAGGTTGGCTTAGTGGTAGAGTTCTTGCCTTGCATGCATGAGGCCCTGGGTTCGATTTCTCAGTACCCCATAAGCAGAAAAGGCCAGAAGTGGCCCTGTGGCTCAAGTGGTAGAGCGCTAGCTTGAGCTGAAGTGTTGATGGACAGCACCCAGGCCCAGAGTTCAGGCCCCATGACTGACCAAAAAAAAAAAAATTAATTGCCACCAGGTGCTGGTAGTTTATGCCTATAATTCTGACTACTCAGGAGGCTGAGATCTGAAGATTGTGGTTCCTGCTGGGGGAAAGTCCATGAGACTCTGATCTCCAATTGACTACCAAAAAAAACATCCAGAAGTGCTGTGGCCCAAGTACCCAGGCCCTGAGTTCAAGCTTTAGGATACACACACACACACACACACACACACACACAGAGGCATGTATACATGATGATTGACTGGATCTTATTTTATTTTTGCCGGTCCTGGGACTTGAACTCAGCGCCTGGGTACTGTCTTTGAGCTTCTTTTGCTCAAGGCTAGCTCTCTACCACTTGAGCCACAGTGCCACTTCCGGCTTTTTCTGTTTATGTGCTACTGAGGAATTCAGCCAGGGCTTCATGCATGCTAGGCAAGCACTCTACTCTTAAGCCACATTCCCAGCTGATTTGTCTGGATTTTTACTTAAGTTCTTTTGTTGCTAATGAGGTTTTTATATGTTCATCTTTTATGGTATTTTTTGAGACAAGATCTCATGAATCCAAGCTAGTCTTAAACTCATCATCTTGCCTTCACCTCCTGGGAATTAGTGTGTGCCACTTACGCCTGTTTTATGATTATTATTTGCATGGTGTGGTGAATATAGTACCCCTTCTAGGGAAATGATCAAGTTCCACAAGATAAAAGCAACCAAAAGTAATTACCTCGGTATCTGCCCCATAGAAGGTACTCAGTAAATGTTCATTACCTTCCTCCTTTTGGGGAAAATAAAAACAAAAACTAGGTTGTGAAATTTATGTGTAACTTAAAACTTGGTACCTTCATTGTGTTTTATTTTTAGAGAACAAGTCTACTTTTGAAATTCTTTGAAATTTTTTATAGAAAACATTTTAAAATTCTAATGTAGTACACGTGCTTTCCATTTCATTTTTATTAATAAATTGACTGGTACTGAACACAGGGAATACTAATACTTGTAGTGATAAGGTATACTTGTTACATATTACTCATATTCACAATTTTGCTTGATCTTTAATATAGATCTCACCTGCATTTTATAGATTATTATGTAGAGCAACATTCTTTATAATGCTCACTGAATACAATATATAATTGTGGGTACAGAATAGAAATACAGTATCAACTAATTAAACATCTAATTCAAGAATGAACCTTTTGGGCTGGGAAGGTGGCTCAGTGGTAG